CCCCATTTCTCTCTCCTTCCCCCCCTTCTCCACATCATTCACCGTGGAAAAGGAAAGACTAAACAAGAATTCCTAGTAATTACCATTTTTCATTGTCCTATTAACCGGCATTGATACAGAACTCATATTATATTGAACCTGGTTTACCCCATTCATCCCGAAATCACTTTCTTGCTGCATCGTTACAAATGCCTCGTTCCAGAATCCTGGGCACAGCCGCAAGCAGGCAACGCTAACTAATGTGTGAGCCTCACATAGAACAAAATAGTCTACTAATGCCGGTTCTTCCGCGGAAATTAACGACAGCGCCTCGGAAGCCATCTTCCAAAACCAGAATATCGTCCGAAGATCCTCTTCAAGGTTGTATAACTCGGGAAACGTGCGCCGAAGGTCATCCAGAGAGCACTCGGTCATCAAAACATATGTCATAAGGAAACCAGCATTGAATTCTACGGGAATGCCAAACGGTAAACGTTTGATAATTTCATCAAACTGACTCAATGGGACGTTAGTTGACTTGGTGGCGAACAAAAGTGCCGCCATCGCCTCCGTGAGGATTCGAAGCATCCGTCCAAGAAGCCGCGACGACGTTCCAAATGCAGCCATTTCGAGATCAAATGGCCCCGACCACGGCGCCATAAGGTTAAGTGGGATAACGGAAAGTAAACGAGCCGCGAAGCGCACGGATCGCGGCGGCCCCTCATTCGGTATGTTTGAATGCGGAATAACTAGAGGAATGCAATCGCCATGAAGTGTGCGGGTTCGGACTAGCTCAATGACTAGAACACCATACTCACTGAGTGTTGGGCAGTTAAACTTCTCCAATGCCCTGCTGAAAATCGACGGCCCACTCAGTTCAACTCCCTCAGCCGTATGTGTAAAGTAGCCCAACAAATCTAAGGACTTTAACAGGATAACCGCGAGAGACGTTCGAATGTCAGGGTACACCAACTTCTCCGATACGGCCGACTCTTGGAATGCCAGAATGTCTGATAAAAAGACATTATTATCCTCGTTTGTAACCAATATTTCGGGCTCAACAACCCACGAAGCCAACACAATCTCCGGCGGCTCCTCGATAGGTGACCAACGGCGATCGTTTTCTTCCTTGAATTTAAATAAGATGTACTGCCGCAACCACCGAAGCCTCGAACGATAACCCGTGTAGAGAAACAACTGAAAAGCGATTTGCACACGTAGCGGGAACACATTCTCCGCGATACCACGGTACGTCGAGGTATCGATTAGCGGCCAATTGTCAACAAAAGTTCCCTGCCCTAGTGCCGCGTAAGATGCCGTCATAACAGGACCCCCAAAGATGAAGAAATAAAACACCGACGGAAGGCGCTTTCCAAACGCAGCGGTGACGTCGCTCTGCTTTTTTTTATTATACAGTTTGGAAAGAAACACACAACGACTATCCTTCACGAGGACAGGTGCATCCAATGCCGCCAAATTACGCCGCAGGAGTTTTTTCTCCTCTTCTTTTATGCGAGTGGAAGAGTTCAAAAAGTTCATCGCGCGCGACCCATGTTCGGACGATGAGTATCGACAAAAGTCATCGAAAATGTCGGGCATCCCATTGACGTAAAAAAGACTGTTTTTAGACTCGAAAAGAAGAATACTAGAAAGATCCTCTTCGCTAAAGTCTAAGCATCGTTTGCGTACCGATGCTAGCACAGTGGATTTGGTGATACAATCAAATGTTTGGTTTTCAATATTGATATTAGTCACTACACGTTCAATTCCTGGGAATGCTAGCAGCTCCAGACAACCATACACCTCGGATGCGTATTGGTTATTCGGAGCAAAGAAAGCTGATATCTGACTCCAAGCAAGATAGGGTGCGCGAAATGTATTGGTGCAGTTTTCGTGAAACATGCGCACAATCCTGGCTTCTACATCCTCCTCAATGAAAAACCTAGCAGCGCATCGTTTCACTGTATCGTGTGAAAGATTTTTGGCAGATAAGTTTTGATTGAAGACCGAGCTGTGAAGAACTTCTGTAGGTGGTTGCGTGGGAGCTACCGGATTAACCTCTGGATGAGGAGTGAACCCACATCCATTAAAAGTAAAGATCGCCTTAAAGTCAGTGTCATTCTGTTTTAAATGGTTCTTGAGCAACTCTGTAGACAACTCACAAAACATGCTTATTTGCTCATACAGAGCTAAGGAAGTTGTGGTAGTATAAACAGAAACACCATCATTCTCACGGACAGCCTGCGTAATAACATCCAGAATCTTGTTACCATCAAAAACCAAAGAAACTTGGTTGGTGTCCGGTAAGCAAGACAGTTTACTCAGCGGAATGTTCTTTTCTTCAACCTTGGCATCCGTTAGAAAGCTGTGAAATGCCCTGATGTTGGGATACATCGCCAAGGCAAGTTCCCCGTGTTTTGTTTATGTATTTCACCCTTAATGTTAATAAATAAATATATATAATTATAGATTTATATAGGACAAAAGGAAACTTTACTACTTTTGCCCCCTTTGTTTGCTTTGCTCCGGGAAGATGGATAAGAAAAAGGAAAATAAAGATGTAAAAGGAAGGAGAAAACTTTGAAGAATTAAAGCATCAGGCGAGGCTGTGATTTTCACGATGACATGGGGAACAGATAAGTGGACGCCCTACTTATACTGAGTTATAAGATAAAAGGTCATTTTTACCCCGCTTAGGCAAAGCAGAAATATGACAATAAATTTTATAATAATAATAGTAAAACAAGTAAAACGGGTATGAAGTAGAAGTAATCCAGTAATTATATTTCTGAAAAACAAAACGGTATTCTCCGCCACTTCGACATCATCAGGCAAAAAACTGCAAATAAATAAATAAATATGAATATAGATATATAGAAATAATAACGTGTTAGACAAAGAGAGTAAATAAAACACGTTTTGACAACATCCTCCCTACGAACTTCACGATTCAAATGTTAATAACTCCTCGAGTGTTCGATAGTAGGGACGGTAAACTTCCCAATGGAAAGTTAGGGCACTTTTTAGGAGCCCCATTTGCCTTTGAAGAATATTAGTAACGAGACCCATGGGTAGTAACGAGCCTGGTGAAGTCGAAAAAAGGATTAACTCTGTGTAATGAAGAACTTTCCTCTCAAATGAGATGTAAAGTGAACTATTGGTATCGGTCATTTTGTCGATTGTAGAGCTCAAGACATTTCTCTCAGCTTCACTCAATGTGTTGGAAGTGACAGGCTTTTGTGTTGAGGATTCCTTAAAAGGCGCCGCACTCAACCTGGTCTCAAGAAAGTCAATGGCCGACTGTTTCAGGGTATTGAGCTTCAGATCCTGAGTAAGTAACTCAAGAAAAAACTCGTGTAGGGCTTTGAGAGCGTCGGACACCTGCTGGTTGTTGAAACCCCTAGAAGAAAGCATGACAGAAGCAGTGCCTTCCAGTAAAAGCAGCAATATGCACTCTTGTACGGTGTTGGCGCAGGAAAAAATGACCGTCTTATCAAAATAAAATAGTTCACCTGGCAAGAACTCCCAACGTTCTGATCTGGTGCAGCCCCCACTCCGCAGGAGGTCCATTGCTCCGAAATGTAAAGCCCCACGCAATCGGCGTTCCTTGTCTGTGAGGCTGGTGGAGGAGCAGGCCGCTTTTGACACAGCCCAGTCCTTCACTGATTCTGTATTTATAAACTTTTGCAAAAACGCGATGGAGCTCTGCCACTGGCGAGGGGCGGGGAGCCACTGCTCTATAAAAGCACGAATATAGGTGATGGCATTGGTTTGGAGCTCACCGGCGACGATGCTCAGGCTGTACTCCGCCACATCCCGACGAAGCGTATACACCGATTTGAAAAGAAACCGGAATGCCTCAGCGACCGCGGCGCCCAACTCCGGGTGCAGACGGTCCAAATTCCGACACACTTTCTGGCACTCCGCCTTCAGTTCCTCCTCTCGCGCCGGGGCGCCGTACACAATCACGTGGTTAATAACGAATTGAACGATACGGGACATCGCGTGTTGGTTTTGAGTCGTGCGCTTGATCATCCAGCTCCAGTCCAAGGCATCGCGGAACTGCTGTTCGAGGCGATACCGCAACCGAGCCGGCACTGCCAATAGCAAAGCCTCTTGGATCTGGTGGAGCAGTGGAGGGATCATATCTACCACAGGCGTGGACTGGTTAAGCTGGCGTGCCATCACGGTGAGTTGCACCTCATCAATACCAAGCGCCACCGCCTCCCGAAGCCCTTCTTCCGTGGTCTTGGGGGGCGTGTAATGCAGAACCGCCTCGAATGCCTTGCGCGCCTTGAATTCGGAATTCAAAAAAAGCTCCCTTCGTTGTCGCTCCTCGTAGCCTGGTTCTGGCCTGGACCGGCCTGTCGCGTCCACGTACCAGTGCGGCGGAAGCTCGGGCCCCATAACAGGGGTCGCGGCCCCCGGCGCCAATAACTGCAGTTTCGCCGTTTCCATCTCAGAACCACTCGTATTTGCGTCCGAGATGAGGGGATTCATGTATTGGAACCCTTGCGTTGTCTCTATTTTTGCCTGCTCGGATCTCAAACCAGAATCCATGGGCGAAATGGATGCCTCAATTTGACTCAACTCACTTTGTACCTCACGGAGCTGCTCCGGCAAGGCGACGCGTTCAATGCGCTGATAGAGAAGATCCATAAATGTAGTGAGATCGGCCCTTTCATTGGGCGTACTCTTAGCGCGTTCACGCGCGGCCTCCAAAAGCGCGCTCTTTGTCCCATCAAAAAGCCTATTCACCGAGAGACGCTGCTCCAGTGAACTGAGCTTTTGCACTTCGTGTTCAGCTAGCTTTGCGTACTGAAGCCACGCGCTTGAGAAGGATTTGAGCAAATTCTTCGAGTAGCTCTCGTTCATTTGATCTTTCAGGCGTTTACCATATGTCTGAAGCTGCCGAAGGATATCCAATACGTGCTGGGCGCACTGAACGAACATCTCAGGAACTTCTTTAGTGTCAAGCCGCGCGAGGTGAAAAGCAAGAAGGAGCAAGTGTGGTTTCATCATAACACGTCTCCGAGTGTGAATCTTGACATCACCATCAACACGTTCTCGTAAAGGCGCCGGTCTTTTACACATCCTACCCACCTTCCGACCGACCCACTGCAGGATCTCTTGGGCAATAAGTACAAGGCGACGTCGGTGTGGCTTGCTGGAGTGTGGGCACAGCGGTTCGTTGGAGCTACCGCATTCACCACAAACCCACGAGTCCGTCATGAGTATTTGTTCAATAGTGTCAATGCACACTGCGGATGTGTCAAAAGACAAGCCGTAATCCTCCAACAACTTGACAGCAGCGCTAATGTTGCGAACGGTTTGAGCATTGCTTTCGATGGCATTTAATCCGCTTTGGGGGGATGAAACTTCTGGAGTCTGCATGTGTATATATATAGATATATATCTGTGTGAGTGTGTGTGTATTTACCCTGTCTCCGTTCCTAAAGAAACGACTCAACACTTGGGCAAAATTTAAAAAATGTTATACAGCATGAAGACAAAACATATTCCCCTGTTGTGGGACCAGTTGATAAGTGAAATGGAGGAAAATATAAGAAATCGAACAAAAGCTGTAAAAGAGGGGAATGCTAAAGTTTAAACCCCGTGTGAATGTTTTTGTCGCTTTTACAAATGCAACTTTCTCAAATGAAATCCACTAAAATTAGAACTGTGATGTTCAATCCAAAGATCAACAGGACCCATCCCATCGTTATTTACATCTGTTTAACGATTAGGCCATGCACTCACTTAAACCTTATACACTAATCGCAGAAGAGTAGAGCAGACTAATTCCGCTCTTTGATTCATGAAGAAAAAAAATGGATAAAATCTCAAACTCTAAAATAAGTAATTGGTGTTACAATTACATTAAATGAATGCTGTCAAAGACTAGAAAAGAAATAGAACATATGTATAATGATCTAAATATAAAGCATCCAAAGTTACATGTAAACCCATGATCCCTTTTATGATGTAAGCTCACTTCCTTTTTAGTGAATCTCCCAGAATCGAGTAACGCCATCTACAGAAGCAGTTACAACAACATTATCGTCAACTACTAAGCCCCGAGTCAGATCCTTCCACGCATTCTTTTTAACCGACAACGGAGAAGACAGCTGACGCATATCCCACACAAATAAATCCGGGCCGCTGCACACAGCCGCATACTTCTGATTAACAGCCACTGAGGTCACAACACCAGGAAGCATAGTTTCATAAATCTGACGGAAACCGTTTCGGATGTCCCACATTCGCATGACACGATCAAACCCACCAGTGATAGCGACATCCTCGAAACTTGAAACCGCTGGAACCTTCTTACTATGCTTGTTAATAAATTCAAGTATAAAGCAATAGGTGGGGTCAATGAGGGAGCACACGCCATTACCACCACCGACGATAACATGTCCTAGACGCGTAGAGCACATGGCCTGAATGGACGTTCCTGAAGTGATGAAGGAGCTGTTCTGCCTGTCAGAGTGCAACACGCAAATGGTAGCGCTTAATCCACCAGACAAAACAGGGCTATTTACATCATTCTCCTTTGCGTATGTGACAGCAAAAACATCGCTCTGAAAGGAAGCCACGGAGGTTGCCATGAGCTCGTGCCCCGCCAATGAGTAGTTGAAAATTGTGCTTGTGCCGTCCTCACAAGCTGTTGCAAAATCAAACTGTGTAACGAAACTGATGTCCCACACACAAGCCTTTCGTGGTCTAAACTGTATGAGAGGTAAGCCGTCGCCATCAAGCAACACAACGTAACCGCTACCGGTTCCAACCGCAAAGCGATGATTTTGTACTTTACATAAAGAAATAAATTTCTCGTTTGAGCCAAAGGTATACTTAGCGACAAGGTTAAGCCCATCTCTAGTAGCTGCACTACGGTTCAATGCCAGATGGGGACTTGCACTCATCTCCAGAAAAGTGCTCTTTTCCAGGCTTATGATATTGACCTCGCTGGAGATTCTTACTTTCTTCTTACCAGTCTTTACCTCGGGGACATCCTGCGGATACGGCTGAGGTGATTGAGCTTTTGCGTTGTCGGCTGTCACAGGATCCTCCCCGTGGATCAACTTCAGACGCTTTTTGCTCTCCATAACGTCTTCTCTGAGGTTGACCTCCGCAATGTTCTCACTTTGAAGACAACATCGCAGTGTCACAGATTTCTTCAGCAATCCCTCGGGAAAATGTGGGTGGGGCTCACACATCAAAAAGACGCAAGACTTTGAATGTATTCTCTTTTGTGCCTCCAATTCCTTGAGACACTCTTCCAATTTATGAAGAAGTGTAATCGACTTGGTTGCTTGTTCGACATAAATCCACAGACCTTTCTCTAGAGATTTCTTAATCACGTTACCAGCTTCTTCCATCCGTTGGCGCGTCTTCATACGGGCGACAGTGTCGATGTACATAACATCGATCTGTGCATGAACGGCTGCCAAAGTAATAGGAAGAGTTGGGTTTGCTCCCTCTATCATGATAATGACGCAATGACCACCTGAGCACCTTTTGGCGGCTTCGAGCACTAGTTCGGCGCTATTCTTCGCACAAGCGTTGTTGTACTCGGGCGGTAGTGGTGGCAAAGATGTCGCCGGCTGAAATCTTTCATTGACAAGGTCATCATCGGAGGAAAGATCAAATTCATCTTTTGCAGGAGTTGTGAATCCAACCGACAAGGGTGCAGGGGAGTCATAGTAACGCTTTTGTTCATCCCGGGCCATGGATACAGCTATACCGTTAATCGAGCGCACAAGCATGCCCTTTGACACGTTGGCTAGGCAAGGAAAACGAGTGCTATCTACAGACACTACCTCATTGTTTTTTCCAAGCTTTATCCCATCTGAAAAAATTTTCCCCGAAATATTTATGGAAATAGACATTCTAAAGGATGTTACTAAAATAACTACAATAATCGCAATCTTATGGATATTGTTATTATTATCAAAAGGTTGTCTGATAAGACTAATTTGCTACGTAAGAATTTAATTGCAAAACTACAATTCCACTCTGACTTTTTGCCAGAAAACCACAGCGTGTGAAAAGCAAAATGATAAATAGGAGGAACTAATCTTGAAGACGGTACAAGAAAAAAAATAGATGTTTAGAGAATAACTGTAAAACAAATAAAGTTTTTCGAACATATATATAGACCGTGGGTAATTAACCACAACAATATTCGAAATAATAGAAACGCAAACAAAGCAGCAAAGACTTTTTTTGATGTTGTTGTTGCGTGTGTATGTAGGTGAAGTGGGAGGAGGAGGAGAGGAGAAGGGAGGTTAACTTATGCAACGAAGCAGTACTACTTTGAGATATTCTACGGAAGTCTCAAATCAGTTGTTTAGTTGGTTTCAATAAGTCTCGAATCCTGGTACGTTAAGTAGTATATACTAGCTACAACTGCGGTGGTGGTATTCACGATACATTGTTCTGTAAAAATGCATAGCATTCGACAAAAACAAGTCAAATAAGATAAACAATAATTGACTTACATGTAAAGAACATTACGCTTCTAATTGGGGTAGAAACCCAAACGACGTTTGCCTCAATATCATGCCGAAATATCTCGTAAAGGGACTTGCTCGTCAGAATGTTTGGAGTGAAAGTAAATCGATACCCCGACCGCACCAATATACATGCCTATTTGGACATTGTCTGGAATAGGCAAGTAAACAAAAAAAATATTGAAATTTTACGCAGCGTGACTCCATAGAAATGCTCAAGACTGCGTGCAGGGATATTTTCTTCAGACTTGGTGAATGCACTAGTATAGGAAATTTTTTTAAAGGATTCGCTGCAAAATAAAAAAATAACCTATCTAAGTTCGATATGAAGTGGAAAAAAAAGTGCACACCACATATATATAAAGTGTAACTAAATTTTCTAGCAGCACCATTATCACCGGGTAAGTAAGGTCAGAACTGATACTGATAGTTTGTTGCTAACCTGTTGCATGTCCACCTATAATAATTTCATTGCTCATCACCGTCGTCCTCACTATAGGCAGAAGCACTATGTGAGGAAAAAAAGAGCACGGGGACAGTGGTGAAGAATCCACCTAATGTTCAAATAGGAATAAAAAGAAGCTAAGGTGGAGATGATATTCGCCTTCTCTAAGTTTCTGTGACCTATTCGCGCACCAATCGATTTAATCCAAACAAATGAAAAGGGAAAGTGAATCAGGTTCTAAATGAAGATGTGTGAATGCATGAGAGTAAGCACGTATTTATTAATCCGAAAAGCATAGCCATATGTGACTGTGAAAATAATAAGTGAGTTTATGTTATTTATAAACACTCTACCTACGCTATGGATCAATCAATTTTGACAATATTCCATTTTTTCCCCCTTTAATCTGCACACTAAAAAGTTATCAGTTATTACGATGGATGCTATATATCCAAATCAACATAAATATGATTTTTCCACACACCACTCCAGTGCAGATCTGCAAGTCGGCCACTCGTTCATTGACTAACAAATGAAATATAATCTCGATTCCATTCAAGGCCTCTTATCCCTCCTTTCCCATGTCTTTCGTGGTGTAGATGACCTTCAGAGCACAATACAGTACTGATCTATTGGATCAGTGCCAGTAATTGTGGTGAAAGGTACACCTCCAGTACCTTCATCAAAGGCGCTCCACGACCACTTAAAAGCTCCTTCATGTGTTCCTTAAAGTATTGGTTAGCATCCGTTACCATCTGACATACATCAACAGGTTTGCGTACAGCTTCCTGCAGCGGGCAAAACACATTAGTAAACTCCTCATCTTGTGTTTGTTTTAGCTCATTCAATGTTACTTCTCTGGGCGAAAAACTAGACCGATCATCCTCTTCGACCGTGTCGTGGATCATCCGCAGGCAACTGTACACGCTTTCGGCCCACATCTGTGGCTCTTTTTGAAGAGACTCGCTATCACACAATAGTCTGGCTAACGCCACAACGCAGATCTTCCGCTCCAGGGCGCCGGTAATCTTCTGCATGTTGGGCAACCATACTTTGCTCAATATCATGAAGAACAGCCCGGGCTGAATCTCTTCCATCCGGTGCACCAAATCCTCGGCGCTTCGCACACACACGGTAATAGATAAAAATATGATTAAAATGCGTACATATTTAGGAGTCTTGGCGGCGTGCAGGCGCTGCAATAACACCTGCAAAGCGGCTGTCAGGTAATTCCCCATGACATCAGGTGGGTAAGACAGCATGAGCGAAGTGAGGATGCTGAGACCTTCATGGTCGTAATTTTTAAGATAAACCAAAAAATGGAAAATATTAAGGAGCTTCAGCGTACCACCCGTTCGATGAACGTACTCCGCGTAGTGTTCGGTGAACTCGGTCAAAAGGCACACTGCAGCAGGGATATTGCCCTTCTGCTCGTACAAACTTTGCTGCATAAGCGGTTCGAGAAGATCGCGGTAGTACTCTGGAGGCTCCTTCTCCCCAGCCGGATGCGAGCGCAATAGCTGAGAAAGAATCTGCAGCACATAAGGAACAAACTCAAGTACATCGTTAGTCAGAATATACCGAATCGTATCCCATAGTATTTGTTCATAGATTTGCACTTGGTCGGGTTGTAAAGCAATACACTTAGAAAGCACCTCAAACACGCAATGGTTAAATATCGGATTGGAGGGGTTCCGACACCCCTTCTGAATCACCGTGTTTAGCGCCATGACCACATCGCCCGCGTACGGCGCTACAGCACCAGGAACTTTCAGAAAAATACGCATAAGACATCGGGCTAGGTACGCATTGGGTTGCTCGGTTTGCTGAATGGCAAGACATAAGGCCTGCAAGACAGTGATGGCCAACGGCCTGAAGACAGCCTCCGTCACGACGTACTGATTGTTGAACTGCACCAACATCATGCGTTCACACATGTGCGCGGAGTACGACATCAACACCCAGTCGTTTGTGGAGAGCCATCGTGGAAGTGATGCGATAAGCGTCGGTATTAATGTCGGATCAATATGATTTCGAAAGGTGGTCACAACCCGCATGCAATCTGCCTTTATGATCGCCGGACTAACGGCAGAAATGGTGGATTCCAATTCGGGCAAGATGGTGGTCGAGAGAAAACTGGGTAGCGGGATCATATTGCTTAGTTGCTGGTGCGATACACCGCGTCCGGAGTCGGCGTGGTGCCCCTCGAGAGCCAGGGAGGAAGCAAGGTAAATCCCAGCGTCCTTGGCCCTCCAGTCCGAGAGACCCACCGCAAGAAGCCGATTAACCTCATTGGAAAGTAAAGAACGAGACTGATTGGGTACATTTTTGATCAAGCTCCGCACCAGCTCCCCAGCGGCACGGCGGCGTGTGTGCAGGTCTGAGCCCTCGATGTCATGTTGGATGTAAGCGTCCGGATCTGAGTGATAGACTTCTTCCTCCTCTTCTCGAAGCATCAAGTTCGGGATGACAACGTTCGCTAGAAGGCTGTTAATACGCATCTCATCCGCGAAGAATCGTTGCGCGATGTTTGCACAAGCACATGAAAGTAGCTCCAGGCCCTGAATAACCAAGTCATTCATAGCGGACATTGCACTAAGAGGAGTTGCCAACATATTCCAAACCATCTCCAGGAGCTCGGGGACCTCGTCTTCGAAATCCTGGTCAAAGACATTCATAAAATGACTCACACAGGAAGTTACCACAGACTTCATCTCAACTAAAACGTCACCTTCATAACGATTGCTCGTCAGTGCGGGATTTTGAGCCGAAAGGCATCGCAAAAACATCTTCACAAGAGTTTTATTATGAGCCAGAAGCTCCTCCGTCATGTCAAGAACAGAGATATCCAAGATGCATTCCACAGCAGCGGTGAACCCTTTGCATGCCATCGTGGCCTCAGCCGTTGGTCCATGTTCAATCGGGCCTAAAAGCGACATCATGGCGTTAACAAGCGGCAGTGAGAAAGCGGCGTACACGCCACGCAGCACTTCGACGTACGTTTCAGTCATTGCGGCGTTCTCGCGATACTTCACAAGGATGCTGTGAGCCGTAGAAAGGGCCGCGCACTTGACAGAAATCAAGGATGTTGATTCTAGGGTTTGAATAATGGAAGCAAGTGGATTAGCCCATGCCGTCGGGAAGTCCACGTTTGCAATCAACGAGATTGTCTCGGCCAGATTACGTTGAATAGACACCTCGGCCTGAAGCATAACACCGATAATGAGATCACGAACAGTGGCTTTGTCTACATCCTGAATGCAATGTTCGGCACTCCTCGGGTCCCAACACCGCTTCACGGTATTCTTCAATACAATAGAACAGAAAGGTGCTGCAGAGGAACCACTTGCTGCGATGTGTAAAAGAAGCACTACAAATCCGCTTTGTCGATCTACATTATTCTGAAATTCGGTAATTTTCTTCTCCGATATTTCTCGGTCAGCCGCATTGACAGAAGAGGCGTACGTAGCTAGACTATTAAATTCTTTTAATAGATGAGGATCAGATGGATTGATCGCCTGCATTTTTTTTTGCAAAACGGATTTAGTTCTTTTTCCTATGAAAGCCTTTGTGGTTGAGATTTTCAAAAGAAATAAAAAAGGAAAAGAACCATTTGATATACCAACAAAGAAATACGGACTAAAGGACCGCTTAAAATGGTATTCAATAGAATCATCTGAGAAACATTCGCATCTTGGACTTTTGATCCTTCGTCGATTTATAATGTGTTATAAATAGCTTTCATGGAAAGAGAAAAAGAAGGATTATTTGTTTGGGTTCTATTTTTATATTCAGACAATTTGTTTAAGGTAAATGAAAAAAAGAAAAAAAGTTTCAGAAAACCAAAATAGTGTATTAGATTCAGCTTTATCCTGGTTCTAAGACAAAACACAAAGTAAGAGTATTAATATAAATAATGCCGTTGCTATAATTTTGGCGCGGCACGAGCTGTTAAACAGACTAAACCAGGTAATGCTTTCCCTTCCAGAAGCTCCAAAAAGGCCCCACCGCCGGTGCTGACATGCGTAAAGTAGGATCGGTAGCTTTTCGTCGAGGCCGCCGTATCACCGCCACCCACAATGGAGACTAACTTCCGATTCGCCTTGACGCCCTCCGCAATCGCGGTGGTGCCGCGGGAGAAGTTGGGAAACTCAAACACGCCGACCGGCCCATTCCAAATCAACGTCCGGGCTTCCTGTACGGCTTTGGCGGCGAGCGCAATGGTTTTGGGCCCATAATCGAGGGCCATGTAGTTCGGCGGGACATCGGCGGTATCGGTGATGTGGGGTGTTTCGTCCTTAAAGCTGGTCGCGCAGCTGTGGTCGACGGGCAAAATGATCTCCACATGCCTCGATTTGGCCAACGCCAGCAGCTCGCGGGCCTTGACATGTAAATCCACCACGCCGGCCTTTTCCTTGATGGCGCGCTCGACCTTGCTGGCGCCGAGGTTATGCCCCATGGCCTCCAGGAAGGTGAAGGCCATGGAGCCGCCAATCACGACGATCTGCGCGAAGTTGAAAATCGAGGCCAGGATGTTGATCTTGTCCGATACCTTCGACCCCCCGATCACGGCCACGAGCGGCTGAGCGGGGTTGAGCATTACCATTTTAATGGCCTTGATTTCTTTCTCGATGAGATAGCCCGTGACCCCCGCCCCCAGCGCGCGCGGGATGCCCGTCATGCTGGCCGACACACGATGAACAGTCCCAAAGGCATCGCAAACGTAAATGTCGCTGAAGGACGCGAGCGCGCGCGATAGCACCCTGTGATCCTCGGACTTTTTGCTATCCTCGCCCTTAAAAAAGCGCAGATTCTCCAAAAGCAGCACCTCGCCGTTCTTCAATTTCTTGACCTCGTCCGCGGCTTGAAAAACATCGGGGACAAATCCCACCTCGGTGTCCAAAAGTTCTTTGAGGCGTGGTAGGATGCGTTGAAGGGATTGCTTCGGGTTGGGTTTCTTCGGCCTGCCTAAATGTGATCCAATAATAACACGGCCCCCCTCACCCATAATTTTTTTGATGGTGGGGATTGCGGCACGGATGCGGCTGTCATCTCGAATTTTCCCGGTTTGATGTTCAAAGGGCACGTTGAAGTCCACTCGGATAAAGACTCGCCGCCCTTCAAAATCTAGATCGGAAATCGACAGCTTGGGTGTCAGGGCTGCGCGAATGTTGATGTGTACGCCAAATTCATACACATGTGGAAGGGCGATCGGTAAAATGGTCCACGCCAGGAGCTCTCCGTGTGGATCCCGGGTCGCCTGGATTACCGCGATCAAATCCTTGCCGCTTGCTAAACGGGCCGTGAGGGTTACTGGGCTGCTCGGCACGTCCAATGGGTGTGTGGGGATCAGAAAAGTAATGCTTTTCCCCTTTACTTCATCCGCTTTCCAGCCATAAAAATTCACAGCCGGTTTATTCATATCCGTAATGACCATCTCATTGTCACTTAAGACGACGATGTCGCGAAGAGACATGAAGATCACCTCCAGTTTGGATACATGAAACATTTTCACTTTCAAAACAGTTATTTAAACAATGTGTATATATAATTTTACCAAATGATTATAATTTTCGCAACTCTTTTTCCAGAAGGAATAGAAAAATACCAGTAGAAATGTTTAGAAAAAAGTGCTATCGCTAATCATATAAAACGATGCTATCAGAAGCAAGGCTATCCAGCGTACGCGATGGATAAAGGACGGTTTAATTCATCACATTTAAGAATATATATATATATAATGAATATATAATATTCAAGCAAGTTCAAAATTTGCTTAGATAATGCAAAAAAATTCATGTCTAAAGCAACTTACGCAAATGATTGTGTGTTGCCTATAATGTATCACGAGTGATAAATAGAAGGACATCTTTACAGTAAAATTCAAAATATATTACGTTTATGAAAAATGCAGACTATTGTTTCTAATATTTTATCAGATCTCAATTTCTACATGAATGTAACAAATTTTTGAAACATTGTAGTACCTGAAAACAGGATAAATACGAAGATAAAAAATTAATTCATAATAATTAATAGGATGCTATTTTATGAAGAATAACTAAAAATTATGGAATTACATTCATTAAACACTATCAAGGGAAACTAGATCGCCATAAACAAGTATTTTTATCGCGTTTAGTTACATCCAGATCAGTCATATTTTCATATTCACACACACACACGTCTTTACTTATGCATATTCTTGTTTAAACAACAAGAACTAATCGGAAGCATATTTTGCATCACCCAAGGTTAATGTAAATATGTAGGGAAAAAAGACCTATCCAACTACCACAATTAAGATGCATATCAAGATGGACGGAAAAGCAGGCTCACCTTTTCTGATCTAAACTTATGAAGCTGGTCTCACCGTTGGTCTGCCCTTGCGTGCACGGCGCTCTGTGAGTTCTGCAAATCAGTCCATTTTTGTTGAGCCCCAACATAAAAAATAATAGCGACATGACCTTAAAATGACCAGGCATATAAAAAATAATCTCCACACCCCTCCTTTGGTGAGCATAATGAGGCGGTAGGTTTTGTAGGATTCCCTTGTTCATGTGCTCTCGCACACCTTGAGGAAAGCGTCGTTGTCAAGGTGCATCGTGAAAAGGCATTACCAAATGTGTTTGGTTGAGATATACGATCTCAGTTTTTTTTTCACACGTCGGTGTTGTCGTTGTTAGTGATCATCAACCACTTTCATCATTGAGCGGAAGGATCGTGCAATTCGAGACACTATTACGTGTGAAAGGCACTAAAGAAATTTCCGAATTGTCGGTTGCATTGGCGGTAAATTCACAACAAAATTTGTTGTCTCCTCCACGGGCACGGATATCGATGGTGTGAATAATCCCTACCTGTCTTCTGCTGAAGAAGATGAAAAAAAGAATGCCACTGCCCGTGACAGGTGGTGCCAGAAGACATTTGTTGTACACAATAGTTTAAGTCGATAGAATGCCAAATAAGTGTCAGACCGAAATCAACCGCATTATGTTGGTATCTAAGTTCAAAACTTGCATAGACTTTCTCCATTGATAATTCGAGGGGAAAAAGCCAATGGATTTTGTAATATGGATACGGTTATTTAGTCAAAAAGGGGATCAATGAAATAAGAAGCGACGACATATATCCACCACCTTTTTATTCTTGTAGAATGACTGTTCATCATCACAATCGGTGTACTTTCGTCTTTGAGTATGAAATATATTAGTAACAAAAGCAAATGGTTGATCTTGATAAGTGAAACAACCTTAGATGTGAAATTTAGGACTGGAAGATTATATACTTCCAAATATATAAGAAGAAAGTAGTAACAGCTCTTGTCAGACCCATCGATATACATCGCAAAAAGGGGGTTTAAAAAGACACCTTTAGAAAGAAAAGGTGCCAGATTAGGTCTCCATTTCCTTAAAAATGAGATAGCTATACACAATTTTCAATACATTGTATCCAAAAGTAAAATAGAATCATATCCACTAGAAAACCCCCCGACGAAAAACTTTGGCAATAATCATGAGCCAACAGGGATGGAATCGAGTGTATTGTTCCTAGAACTTTTTACAAGACAAAAAAGGTTAGAACGAGCATAAAATTAAGCACCATATGTAGCATTAAAGAATGCGACTATAAATAAGCTTGGAACTTTATCATAACCACGCCATGTTTTCGATAATAAAATGCATATATGCATGCATACTTTGTTCATTTCTAACAGAAAGTATAGAATATTTAAAACAGAGCAGATGTCCACATTCTCCTTCCCAATAATTTTATAAAAAACGCCGTAGACCGTATGCAATAAATTTTCAACAGTAAATAGAGATCATGAATATTCTCTCCTGAGACATAGTCATTGGTTTATATTTTCATCACTATATGTACATAGAAACATCGAATCAAATACAAGAATATATACGAGGTGTATATGGTTCCTTTCTATGAGTTCATCTTGTTGCGTTTATTAATATTTAAGACAATATTCTCAGTATGTAGAAAGAAGCATAATTGAACCCTTTTTGGGGAGGGGGATGAAGGGGGGAGGGAGAG